GACCTAGAGAACCCCTGCCCTATGCCTAACCTAGGCCACTGACAAGCTTCGGTTCAAACACACAAACTCTGTATCAAAGACAGTAAATACATATCTAGATAGTTCAACACCCACACAATTCAGTAACTTAACCGTCCCTGTAACATTGCTGGGCTTCAAGATGTCCCAGACATACTTCTGTAGTGTTAGCTTGGTTAATTAAAGTTATATCGGGGCATCTTCCCATAACATTAATGTCATTATAAGATAAATATAACGTTAGCAGAATTAACAAACCTCCTCATATTAAACATCTAGCTAATGTTATCAAAACCTAAACATATTGTGGCAAATTATAACATTTACGCAAATCATAACATTAACCTCAGGGTAAATGTAAAGTTAATGCATTAATAACTATTTTAGAATTTACAAGTCTCTACAGAGCCAGCTGGCTAACGTTATCAAAACAACATGTGACGGCAGATTATATCTTACTAAAGTAACACTGGGGAGTGGATCCATGACACTATAGGTAACATTATTGATTTCTCAAGTTTACTTGCTGATTATGTACCTAAATTTCTTACTTAATGCTGTCTTTCACTGCTGATTGTTCCTCCTTTAGTCTTCTTTTTACGTGCACTTTCTACACCACATCAAAGACAAACTCACAAGTGTCACACAGGATTCTGTCATGCTTGCATATTATTGATCGCACACATCTTAAGGTGGGTGTGGTGAATCGGTCTGAAATCTTTGCACACAGTTCTGTTGCCGGGCAGAATTTTGCAGGGCACCAAGGCACTGTGGCCTCAGAACATGGATTTTCAAAGGGGCATCAAAGCCAGAAAGAGGGACAATGACGTCCATGGCCGTCTGCGAAGTTCCTGCCCTGTCACCTGTGATCTATTAGGTTGTTTACGGTACAGGTTTATACTTGACACTGCGCACCATCACATGCCGGGTCTTCTGTTGGTTTTATCATGAACAATAACTTCCATGTCTCAGTTCCTGTTGTGCAGTGTGACAGTGACAGACAGAAGTGGCCAGGATCTGCAAAAGTTCCCGGTTCAGACAGCCCAAGAACCTGTAAACAAGGACCAGGTTCGGGAACTTCGGTGTGAAAGCGCCTAATAAGGCGAGTAATGAAACCAACAGGTGCAAACAATTCAAAGAAGGAGGTTATTCCAAACTGAGAACAGCTATGGGCCGCTGGGCTCTGGTCTGTGACAAATGCAGCCCTCCAGAGTACAGTATGTAGATGGAAAAGTGCTTTAAAGTCCTCAATTCAATGGCTACATGCTTTTTTCTTTTTTACTTAAGCACACAGTAGAATACAGCTCACAGTTGTTAGTCTAAATGATTAGTGCACATCTCTACCTGTAATTAAAAACTGACTGGTTTCCTTTGGTTGAAAGATATTATAGCCTGTAAACTGAATTTTGAATATAAAGCTAACATTACTTCTGCTTTTGATTACAGAGTCGGACTATACATGGGAACTGGTTCTTTACAACCATAATCATCTATGCGATGGCTGACCATTCCAATGAGGAGGTATGGATGTAACATCTTGGCATAAGATGCATGCCATTAGGGCTGTAAATACCAGACACTGAGAGACAAGAAAGCCTGATAACATGAATAACTATTTTCAGAAAGCTCATTCTCCGCAGTGATCTTCCTCACCATACTGCACTGCACCAAATGTTACAGACCTACTGTAACAGAACAGAATAACTTAGCAGACAAAAAGCTCACTCTGCAGTGCTCTTCCTCAAGCTACTTTCTTACTATATTGTGCTACATGAAATGTTATTGACATATTGTAACAGAACAGCAGAGACATTATGTGGTACCTTGGGAGGAGCCTAATGGGGGCTCCGTTTATGACGCCATAAGCGGGAGGGGGCGAATCCCTTATTCTGATTGGTCGAGGGGTTATGTCCATATATGGTATCATACATGCTTATGCTACGTGATAAGGGGTCATATGGTTTGGGTTGCCAATAAACCTTAATAAAATGAAAATACATTAAATATATTTATTAATGTGTTCTTTTTAATTACGTTTTAAGGAATAAAAAACATATAGCAGGATGACGTAATCTA